TGGATGATCTTAAAGGTCCTTTCCAACCTAAACGATTCTATAATTCTATGATTCTTCTTTTCTTGTTGACCTGAAAGGCAAATATTCTTCTTCTGAATGTTGATCCCCCTGGCTTGTAGATTTTGGTTATTACACACTGTAATCACTTCAGACCTTTGAATAGATCAGTGGTGAAGTTGGCTTCGTGCATCTTATGTCAGTCTGATTCAGACATCTTCATTCTTGAATGAAGAATCCCAGAGGTCAATATTGGGTCCAATACTTCTCAACATCTTCATTAATGATCTGGATGGTGGGGCAAACGCTAACCCTCATTTCTGGCTCAAGCCTGGACTGTCCCCCCACCTCTGGCCCACACCAAAAACTATTCCTCAGCACTGATCTCTTTGCTCCAGCTTGCCTTTGGCTGCCTAATTCCAGTGCCACTCCAATGGCCCCTCTAGGCGCTCTCTTTTGCTCAACCCTAACCCTATAGACAAGCTAACCCTCATAGATAAGCTGTTGATCTATGGGCTGGATAAGCAGACAGTGATGTGGACTGAAAACTGGCTGAATGGCTGGGCCCAGAAGGGTGGTGATCAGTGGCACCAAGTCTAGTTGGAGGCCAGTAACTAGCAGTGTACCCCAGGGGTCAGTACTGGGTCCAGGTCTCTTTAACATCTTCATTACTGATCTGGATGATGGGGCAGAGTGTGCCCTCAGCAAGTTTGCTGATGACACCAAACTGGGAGGAGTGGCTGCAATGCCAGAAGGTTGTGCTGCCATCCAGAGGGACCTCAACAGGCTGAAGAAATGGGCTGACAGGAGCCTTGCAAAGTTCAAAAGAGGGAAGTGTCAAGTTCTGTACCTGGGGAGGAACAGCCCTGTGCAGCAGTCCATGCTGGGGACCACCCAGCAGGAAAGTAGCTTGGCAGAAAAGGACTTGGGTGTCCTGGTGAAAACCAAGTTGACCACAAGGCAGCAATGTGACCTTGCGGCAAAGGTGGCTAATGGTATCTCTGGCTGCATTGGGAGGAGTGTTGCCAGCAGATGGGTGGAGGTGAGTCTTCCCCTCTACTCAGCACTGGTGAGGCCACACCTAAAGTAGTGTGGCCGGTTCTGGGCTCCCCAGTACAAGAGAAAAATGGAGCTACTGAAAAGAGTCCAGCAAAGGACCACGAAGATGAAGAAGGGACTGGAGCTTCTGTCCTATGAGGAGAGGCTGAGAGAGCTGGGACTTCAGCCTGGCAAAGAGAAGGCTCAGGGGGATCTCATCAATGCGTACAAATATCTGAAGGGAGGGTGTAAAGAAGATGAGACAGAGCCAGGCTCTTTTCAGTGGAGCCCAGTGACAGGACCAGAGGCACAAACTGAAACATAGGAGGTTCCATCTGAACATCAGGAAACACTTTTTTACAGAGAGGGTGACTGAGCACTGCCACCGGTTGCCTGGGGAGGTTGTGGAGTCTCCATCCTTGGAGATAGTCTGAAGCCATCTGGACATGGTCCTGGGCACCTGACTCTAAGTGGCTCTACTTGAGCAGGGGAGGTGGACAAGATGACCTCAGCCATTCTGTGAAAACTGGGAAAAACAGGTTTCCCAGAGATAGGGACACCCACATTTTTTTGATATGGACAAACTTAACTTTAACTTAACTTAGCTTTTCCTCATCCTTTGAGGTAGCTGAGGTGCTGTTTTTGCATCTTCTCTTCCTCAACTTCAGTTTGAGATAGACACTAGCATTGCAGTTTTCTTCCCAGCGAGTTGGTTTAATGATACTACAAGCAAATGAAATCTAAAGTTGTGCAGAGGTTCTCTTTAAAAAGAAGTAGCACTGCCAGGTTTGTCTGTGAAAATTTCTTTGCATCAGACTTCTAGCATTAACACTTTGCCAAATAGTGTATGCTGTTGTAGTACAGTCTAAGATCATTGGGGAGAGTGTGAAAAGCTTAAGTACTGGCTAATTTTGATCAAGCACAAGGGAGGTTCTGGAGAGACTCATAGATGCCATTATGCATTTAAGTTCATAAGCAACTCCCATCTATCTCTAGGCCTTCCTTCTTTGCCCTAATAGACTGTGGAGGAAAAGATCCCTTCTGAAGGAACTTGTGACAAGGGCCAGTGTGACTTTGAGATGCATTTAAAATGTAACTGCTGCTTTCCAAGTTCCATTCGGAAGCCATCTTCTGTGTTGCAGTTAGCCTTCTGATAGCAAAAAGTTTGTGAATGGTGCACAGAAGTAGAACAAAGGAAAAATACGGCACTACCCCAGCGTAGTGTCATGGTAATACTAAAAAACTTTTCAGGTGAATAATTCTCAGACACAACCCCCAAAACAATACTACTGCTTTACATGCATGTCCGTATTAATTAACATAATACAATGTGGTGACAATAACTGAGGAATGTGCCAAAGGTATAAAAAACCTATTAAGTTGGGAAGGAAGAAGGAGGAAATGTGGGATGAGCCTACATTCAGGAGGATGGACTCCTCACCAGGAAAATGGCTGCTGTACACTCACATTTAGTGAGCTTTGAAAGAGAGTAATGTCTTGTTTCCCTTTCTGCTTTACTCAGGTATAGGTTATTCTGTGTTATTTTGAGAAGAAATGCAATAAAACATATGTTTTGAGAATGGTCATGAACTACTACTGTAAGCAAAAGTTCAGTGTTTATAGATGGGCTGTGCTACCATTGCCACACGTTGGTTTTTAGGTTAGGGGTGTTCTGCCTGTTCTAATGAGTATCAAGAAATACAGAAGAACTGCTGTTAATAATCACTCATTTGGCTTTCCCGTTCCAGTGCTGATCACATACACTCTTGTTCTAGTGTTCCTCTTTTTTTTTTTAAAAAAAAAAATAATAAATGAAATAAACCAACAGAAAATACTTCATTAATGTGATTAATGTTGTGATTGATACACATAAAACATGGGGCTAATAAAGATGTCTTAAAGTTTGGGGGAATTAGATACTAATTGAGATGTTAATATGGTGTTCTTGGGCAGCAGGAACCTCTTTCAATAAAATCTCTGCAGAAAGAAGTCCTTGCAAAACAGGTGATTGCCTTTCTACCTGAGGCTAGACTGTAGCTGGGAAAATAAACAGTGGATACCTGCTTCTCGTCCTTCAGAAGTCAATGCTACTTCTGTATTTAGATATCTTCTTATCTGCATTCAAAGGAAGACTTCAGAGAAAAATTTCAAATATTAAACATAAAAGAAATATCTTTTTTTATGTATCATGTTATCTGTGTATCTACCTTGCTAACAAGTGAAATGCGGACTTTGTTACTTACCTCTTATCATTTAATTATCATTTAGCTTTCCTAAATACTGTAACCTTTCCTACGTGATTTCCCCCTTTTTTTTCCATTCTGCCAGTGATCTCTATAAAAGGGATCAGGTAATGACGCTTTAAAAATGTACAATGAAACAAAAAATAAAACTCCAACCTAGAAATGTGAGGCATAAAGTCATTAGAGCAAGGTCAGCTCTGTCATAGCACACATCTTGCATATTTAATGGTAAAACACAGCTGGAATATGTTTAACTGCACATTTAACTGGAGACTGGGGCAGGAGACTGCGATTGTCATTATATTAAGGAAATCTTAACTTTAGATTTTTTTTGAGTTATTCTTCCCAGTAGTCCACTATAGGCTAAAATTATTGAAAACCGAGTTCTAGTATAAAAATACAAAGAAAAAGTAATTAATTTAAGACCATTGCATTGGAGACCTGTACCTTTTCAATTTCAGTTCACAATACATTACAATATTTTGCATGAACAAGTTCTTAACATAAGTATGTTGCCAAGCATTCTTTAAATCAGGTGTGATGTTTTCCGTAACTGAAGTAATCTCAGCTCAAAGCTTTAAAATGCAAGTATAACTACTCCTGAAGTTGTCCCATTGAAGTGAGGAATTTGTGTTGCAATTTTACAGCGATGTGTACTGCTACTGAAAGAGAATATCTTTTTCCTGTCAGAGGTTGGAATGACACTATGTTTTGTGGTTTTACACAGTAGATATATGTATGTATCTCCCTTATGCTTTTCCATAGCATGTATGTGACCATAAAGGCAGTCTTATCAAGGAGTGGATTCTTCTCAATCTTTCTGCTGTGTTAATTTTCAACCAGATCAGCTCCCTGACTGAATTGTCTGTGGGGCCACAGCAGCACTATGACGGAGAAGTAATGCTGTGCAAGGAAGGCAGGTGTATTGGCCATTTCAGGGATTTACATTGGTATATGCCACTTGCGAAACCATGACCTAGGCAGCAGTCCTGCCATTTATGTTCGCGTTTATGCCTTTGGCAACCTAGCTCACATCACTATTACTAGAACGATTTACTAGCAAAGGAGAAATAAGTACCTAAGTTAAATGTGATTGGACTGTATGTCCTGGTCTTGTTAGTTTGCGGTGTTGAGTAGTGTACAGTTACAGTCAGGTATTTTTGCCACTTGTCACCTTTCTCCGTATGCGATGAAAAATGTTCTTAGCTTAGTAGAAGCTGATGGCTTGCACATGCCTCCTCCTATTGAGGAGTTGTCTTGGTTCCACGTGTGGGGGAGGAGAGAGCCTGTGTTTTTGTCTGAGTGCAGTTTTGGGGTGGCTTTGATGGGGACGGGAAGTGGATAGCTGTATTCTTGGGCCATTAGGAGAGAAATAGAATAAATTGTTGTGAGTTTTGAAGAATTCTGTTCTTATTAAATTATTTTATTAAATAATCAAAATAGATAGTTCTTCCTCCTGCTCCAGTGAAACATTGTTTGTCACATCAGCAATGATGCAACAGTGGCCTGAGCACTAACTATAAAGGAAAACTTGAATAACTTAAAATTCTTGACTACTATGTGCGTTTAGAAATTTCTAATTCTTGCTTCCTTTCCCTCTGTGCATTTCCAGTAAGTAGATTCAGACCTCTTTTTGTATTGTTGCTGGTTGAAACTGGTTCTTATTTTTATAATTGTAATTCTGGGTTTTTGTTTAAATTTAAACTGACTTTGTTAAACTCTAGTAAAGCATAAGAAATCCTGATCTCTGGACCTCCATTAAAATTGAGTGGGAAATGAAAAGTAACTGGTGGGTGTTACAATAGTAAATCCTTGAAATCTCTTTTGGTCTACATATTTATTTTTAAAAGCATTTTGGGGAATGATGGTTTATAAACTTTGAGATCAACAAAGATATTTTACCTGTGTTGGTGCAGGTATATGAGGCCCCCAGCTGATTCCCTGTTGCTTGCTCTCTTGCTGCTGTCTGTGCCTGTGCGTGGTGGCTGTAAAGTGCTCCTGTTGGGGTTTGCTATAAATTGTTGCATTGTACAGGTGTACAGTGAAATGGGGTGGAAAATTGTGCTGCTTGACTTTAGGGAGGACCAAAACCAAATGTGCTGTCAACCTTTGTACAGCAATAAAAGTTTATGGCTGGGTTAATGAGCAGCTTTTTTAAACCATATAGTTTCTCCAAATGTATGATAAAATAAAAGAAGTCTTTTGCTCTTGCTGATTTCCTAATGCACAAGTGCATAGCATCACTTTTAGAAACTTACAACTATTTAAAGCCTTGTTTTTCCATAAAAATTTATTTCTACAGATGAAAATGGTTGATGTTAAGGAAGGGGAAGAACATTTTAGAATTCTGGGTGTGTTGTGCATTTAAATGATTCTAGGTGTCATGGCGCTGTTTGGTTGTTTGTTTTTAATAGAATGCTAATCTGATTCAACCTTTCTAAGCTATATGACACCATCGTTATGGTGAATAAAAAGACATAGTTCCCTGTAGACTAATAAAAACCTATGTTCCTAGGTAATTGAGTTTCCAGATAATGTTTCAAGCTCACATTATTTCTGCTCGTGTCAACTTACGGTTCATTTTATTGAAAAGCATTATGTTTCTCACAAGGCAGCCTATTGTGCTGTCTAGCTGATGTTTTTTCTGGTGCATAGTATGGTCACAGGTGTGAGGGAGCAAAAGCTGTTAAGTGAGAGTACAGTAAGTGTCATAGGGAGTACCCTTTGGCAGTTGATAGGAATATTAATAATTCACTGAGAAGTGGAAAACTTAAACTCTGTGGATTTCAGGATAGTTGAATCTTGACTTCTACAAGAAAAGCAACCATCTAAACACATAGTAAGGAAACCATGAATTACATTCATACAAGAAAGCAATTCAGAACTAAATGTCTATGGCATGCTGAGTGTTGTTGTGATGAGCTGTGCTACTTTTGATACGAGAAAAAATTTAATTTTTCTTTTCTAAGGAGATTGAATATTTTGGAGGGGATTTGTTTGTTTATTTAATATGTTTGTTTATTGTTCTGGAGATTTTTAAATCATTATAGTTCTTTACGCACAATGTACATCCACAATTTAAGATTTCTAAAATCTGAAACCTGCATGTGGCTGCTTGTTTAGCTGCGTATTTCAAATCTACTTTCAACAAAAATATCAATAATCTCCTGAAATTAAAAAACAGTATTGCTAGTCTTACAATATATAGATTTCCTTAGCATCAGCAGATAGAATAGATTCAAATTATCTGAATTTTTAATGCATTTCCAGTTGTAACAAAAATAGATTACTTAGAAGAGCATCAAAGAAAAGAATGCTCATTTGCTTTATATGCCTTAAAATACTTAAAGCGAGGAGAAATACAGCCTGGATTTAGTAACGATAAAGGGAGTATTCAAGCTACTTACTGCAAATGGCTTTAATAGTTTAAAATCTTGCAAACCAATGCACATAGCATGGAATCCTATTTATAAGATTTGTTTTCGGTACTTTCTGTGTGCTGTTAAATTCTGATATTTCGCAGTATGCTATTTATGTTTTATGTTGATCAACCAAAAATCTATTGGGTGTACTCAATTGTACACTCTTGTTGAGTATGTATTGTCCAAATCTATAATTGTAAATACAGAATATGCTAAAATATTTGGTAGCAAAGCACAAGGCTACTTACAATAAGGAAGAACAGAGAAATGCCAAATGTGTCTATACAAAATATATACCTCCAGTGTGTTCTTTTGGAGATAATGGCAGTTGTATTTCTAAATGTTATATATGTGTGTGTGTGTTTATATAGTAACACTTTTTGTCTTAAAAAAATAATAGTCTTCATCATCACTAAGAAATAGTTGAGGATTTATAGGTGGGTAATTCAGCATTTCAGTTCATGTTTTAAAGCATGGTGACCTCAAAATTAAATCCACTAAACTGGACTGAAGTTTGTGTTAACTAGAATTCTGTGTGTTGTGTCCCCCTAGGAGGAACAGGCTGCTAAACTCAAAGCTGAGAAGATTAGGGTTGCGTTAGAGAAGATTAAAGAGGCACAAGTGAAAAAGGTAGGTTATTTATACAGGTTTATAAGATATTTATTCACCTGCAAAATGCAAGCAAAATTCTTCTCATTTGTGTCTATTACCCTTAAGTTGCCCTAAATAAAATAGGAACACTGTAGTATTCTGATCTTGAATGATAATGTACTTTCTCATCCGGACTGGACCAAATCAACAAAATCCTAGCATATGGAATAACACTATGTTTTTCTTAAGGAATAGCTTATTTTGCAGCTAGTGCACATTGAGAAGGCTTTGCCAACTTCCACCCCGAGCTGAAATGAAGCTCCAGCCTCCTGAGAATGTCTTTGTATATTACACAGTCACACATTTAAAATTTGGGTCTGTTTTCTTAACAGACCCCTTCCCATTATGCATAGCAGGATTTTCCAGTGATAAATGGAATATAAGCATTCCAGACTACAGACAGGGGTTACCAAGAGGAGAAAGTCTACTGACATTACTTGATGCGCTAGCAAAGAATATAAAGTGTTCCCTTGAAATCTGGCGTTCTTGTTTTATGTTTGGAGTTTTTCAGTAGCTTAAAATGTCTTTTACATTTAGTGTTTATATATCAAAAGCTGAAAAACTGTCCTGGCTGGAAGATGGGAATTAACAAGCCAACCAGTGTATTACAACTAGTATGTTTTAACTTGTCCAGCTGAAAAAGGTGTAAAAAAGGAAGCATAATGATCGGCAAGAAGAATCTGTTGTCTTAAGTTTTTTAATTGGTTAAAAAAATGGCTGCATTTTTCTTTCTGGACAGTGACCTCTTTAAAGTGCCTATGAAAAGCCATTGCGTTTGAAAAGCAGATTTCTTTCACACTAATACTTCATGCTGCCCAGAAAAAGAAGATTTAGTATAGGTATATTGTTTACATAATCAGCATTTTTAGAAAATATGGAGGAAGCGGGCAGAAAGCTTGAATTGCAAGTCTGAAAAATTCTGATTCTATATAAGGTTGTGCAGAACTCTTTATCTATGTTTGTTCCACCTAGATATGTGAGAAAAATTGTCACAAAGACACTTTATTAATCAGAACAGGACACTTTGGCAGGAGGGATTTTTTTTTTTTCCCCTCCTTAACACATAACTAAAGTATTCATTGTATTGGGAAGTCCTTTATATTTACTCTCTTACACTGAAGGAGAACAGTATCATTGTGTGTCCATGATACAAATATCTAACCATCATTTATGGCTTTTTACATTTTGAGGGAGTGTATTGATTGAACTTAATATTTTACGCTATTTTAACAAAACCTTAGAAAAAGAAACAAGATCTTAAAAGAAACATGTTTTTATTTGAAATGTCAGAAATTAATCCTTCTTCTTGTTTTCCTGATTTTCTGCTTAATAGTTGGTGATCAGAGTCCATATGTCTGATGACAGCTCAAAAACAATGATGGTGGATGAGAGGCAGACAGTGAGACAAGTATTAGACAATCTGATGGACAAATCGCATTGCGGTTACAGTTTAGACTGGTCATTGGTGGAAACCATCTCTGAATTGCAAATGGGTAAGTAATAATTATAAACATTTATAATTCTTATGTATTGATGTAATACTTGTCTATATCTGTGTCCTCAGAATGAGTTGAATTCTTATCTTCATAATGTTCATCATCCCGTTCATTCTGTGTAGTAAATGTTCATTCATGTAATAAAGCTCATGAATGACATTGTTTCAGAATGACCTGGAAATGTTTTCTTCTTTCATATTAAAAGCATGTCTAAATTCTAAGGTGTGATAGAGGAATTTTACTGATGTCTAGTCACTGAACCTCTTAGTTTTGATGTGTTCCTCACAGAAGAAAGAGGTTAGGGATAAAAAACTTACCGTGCATCTCTCTGCAAATAGTAATAGTAAATAGTACTTTGTACTGATCCTAATAGCTCTTATTACAAAAAGCTGTCTACGTTTTTTTTTTTTTTTCTGTTAAATATTTTGATGCAATTGGCAATATGGCTCTAAGGGCAGTTAAAGCTTATTTGCACTGCATTGCACATACCACAATGGAAGTTGTTCATTTAGCAAATGATATAGCATCTGAATGGAAAAGAAGGGGGAAATGGTAGAAGAACAATATTATTAATTCCCGTTATCAGAGAAGAATTACATCAAAAAGTTCTTAAGCACCTTACCCATTGACTGAAGAAAAGCCCAGAACTGAACCCAAATACCTTGATTTCAAATTAAAATGCAATTAATATTTCCTCTGTTGGTGAAGCCTTTTCTATTTCAGGCAGTGTAACATGTTAACTTTGCTTATTGTTAGACAAAAAAGGACACTGTAGGGTGACAGGGTATCCTTTGAATCTTCTACTTTTCATATGAAAAATAACACCTTAATAGGCTCACAGACTTAAAATTTTAATAAATGAAATCTTAAAAGTTGCCCAATTTTGAAACCAGAAAGAATTTTCACAAATTCTATGTAAATCCAAATTAAGTATGTAAAAATCAAAGGTGTAATTCTGTAACATTTTACCAATGAGAAGAGTATGAATAAATAACCTTATTAGTTCTGCAATAGTTTTATCTTTCTATCACTGAAAAATCTCTGAATGTGTAGGTAGTAGGATCCTGAACTCAAGGCTCAGTGAGGGGTCTTTCCCATCCTAGATTTGCTTTCATAAGACACTTCCATTCACTGTGCAGTCTGGAAAGAATAAAGGAAAAAATACTGAAAAAACTATTTTCAACTTCTGTTAGAAACAAAGAGCTAGGCTGCAGACAGAAAGAAACTGATAGTTATCCAAACTGACAGCGTGACTGAATTAAGATTATTTTGAAATGAAACCAGGGTTAACAAATCTCTCTTGTTGTTGGGTGTTTTGCAAGTATCTGCATGCCCTACTGTATGAGCTCAGTGACATACTGGGAATGACAGAATTTGACTGCTGTATTGAAAGAGTTTCAAGGTAAAGAACGATATCTATTATAATTACAGACTTTTAAATTCAGACTACAATGTGATAAACCTGAGAGAGATGCAAGAGGGTAAAATTCAGTTTCTTCTTTCATTTTTCAGTTTGGCTTTCCTTGATCCTTGGTAGGGGAACTGTTAGGTAGTTTTTCATAGATTTCACATATGTGTTTTTTAAAAAAGACAATCCAAAACGCAGACTGTTTCATTCATGTATTTTATACTGAAACTTGAAAAACATATGAAAAAATGATTACAACAGAGCCCTCACCCTATGTACTATTGTGTATTGTATTGTGTTATTTTGCCAGTGGTTCATCTTTTCAAATGTAATGTCTATGTAAGAGGAAGGAACTCCTGTATTATAATATTTTCCTTTAGCAAGACACAGACCACCTATGCACCTTCACAGTGTATTTTACCATGCTGTCTTGTCAGTTGATTGCTCACTAATTGTGCAATCCAATAAAATGCCTGAAAGCTTTAAGCTAAGAAACTGCAGAGGAAGACATGAGGCCTGTGGAGTTCTTGATTGTCTTTGCATTTTATGTGGTCTGCTTCAAATGTGTGAGGTTAACTAGTTTTTGAGGAGTCTGATTTAGGTACATTTACTTGAAGTGGAAGGCCGCCTGCTACTATCTAGTAGTTTAACCAGGAGCTTTATATGTACTTTCAGAAGGACTCAGTGATATTATTTCTAGAATGCAGAGTGAAGTGTTTTGCCCAGTTTTGCCCTGCAACTTTGTAACAGAAACAACTCTGGAAGGTTTCTTTTGGTTGGGACAAAGGTTGTTTTTATTTTTTTAGTTAGAGCAGAGTATGTCTATGAAGTATCTATGAGTTACGATGTTTAGATTTTAGAGAGTATGTTTAATAATAGGAACATTGTATTATATGCAGTTTTACATGCTGTAGGTACATATACACTCAGTGAATAAGTTGTTTCGTGTTTGAGTGCAGTTATTGTTCTTGTACTAACAGCTGATGTGTTTTGAAAACTATCCAGTTTCACTAATGATGCTGCAGTGAGATTTAAGCTTTTGTATCGCAGTCCTCTGAAGTTTTTTTGTTTTGTTCTTCTGTTAGGTAACACCCTTTTTACTTTCTGGGCAGACAGTATTGCTGTCTTGCTTGATAGAGCTTGATGGAAGTCATGAGTTGTAACTTGAAAGCTTCTTAGAAAGATCTTACTGAGACCTCAGTAATGTTGTGTTGTCACCTCAAACCTTAATTCATTCCCTACATATGATATAAGATGTTGAGATGTCATTTCAGTCTTTGTTAGTGATAGTTCCTAGGTCTGGATGTGATCAGTGCCATATACTCTCTGTAAAAATGTGGTGTAATTTATTTTGTGGAAAAAAACGTGTTCTGCTTTCAGATGCAATTGAAAGGTCAAGCAAGTCCCAAAGGATTCTGAAAGAAATAATTTGCTGAAATGCCACTGTGTGGCCTATGTGAAGAGGGAACAAATTGCAGAAAGCAAGATTCTACCTCAGTGCCTTAGAAAGGGGGAGAAAGTTGGTCTAGTGGTTTCCCAAACATGTATTCTTCCATATTTATTTTAGAATAAGGGTTTTCAGATATTTCTCTACCATTTCAGTAAATTTTCTTCTTTTTTCTTCCTCTCTTCTCTTTTGCCTATTTTCAGTATCTTGAGCTAGTGATAACTATTTCAACGGTGAGTCAAAGCTCAGAGTTCTCAGAAGCCATTGTTCATACATCATTTATTCAGCACAATAGATTGTGAGAAATAGACAGTGTGAGTTTTCAGACTTCTAGAATACCCCCACTAACCATGGGTATTCTGCGTTTTGGAAGCATTTTGTTTTCTATCTGATCATTGTCTTTTTCTTTTTTTGATACTTTATGAATAAGATAGTGATTGGGAATGTAGAAACAAATTTTGTGCTGAAAAAGCTGCCTAATAAATTCCTCCAGGGATTGTGTGGACCAGAGTACATAGAAATGTGATAACCTTCTTATTTGTAGTCATAACTTGAGTCTGCTGTGTTCATGTGGGATGGTAGGCTTTGTCAGGTAAAAAAAAGAAAAACATTTCATATATTGATGGAACTGTAAGCCTGAAGAGACAGAAGTGAGAGCGTTGAGTGAGTGTATGTGTAAAATTAAAACAGGCACATCTGAAAGTTGACTAAGTTCTTTTAGTTTCTTAGTGTGAACTTCTTCCCCATTTTAGTAGACCTTGAACTCTATTTTCTCTACATATATGCCTTATCTCCCAGATAGGACTACAGAGCAGTTTCTATCACAAAATGTAACAGATTCAAATGTATTCGCTCTCTTGTTATTGCTACAGAAAGGATCTTTGAAGATCATGAAAATTTAGTTGAAAATCTTCTGAACTGGACAAGAGATAGTCAAAACAAACTGATGTTCGTGGAACGTATAGAGAAATACGCACTTTTCAAGAATCCCCAGGTAAGCCTGAAGTTCATGTTATGCGTGTGTATGTGCACACATGCATGCGTGATTGCAGTTTCTTACTTTTTTTGGTAGCGTTCATTTCCATACTTTTATTTTGATACTTGTGTATATATTAAAATGCCAGGCAACTTTACATTTTGGCACTGTGTACATCCACATTGTGGTTGGCACAAAATCAAGTCCCTAGCAGAAAACCATGAGCTGATGTAGTCTGTTTGCTAATGTGTTTGTGGGTAATTTTAATGGAGATGAAGGCAAGGAGTTTCATGGCATTTACACCAATACTTAGTGCTGTTCAAATATGTAAATATGCAAGAAAGGTGTTGACAGATATTACTAATAGTAATGCCTCTCCACTGTGCATTCTTGCGTTGCTGGCAAGAAGGGGGAGAAAATCTAAGAGAATAGCTACTCCACGGTCAGATAGCAAGTGAAGAGAAGAGAGCATGTGTCCCTCCCTGTGGAAGCTGGGACCTGCCACTATTCACCTGTGTTTCCTGTTCCCTGGCTAGGAAATCAAAGGCCCCTCTGCTGTCTCAAATGGCTTCAAAGACCTCTCTTCTCTCAAATGGTAGCTACAGATTTGATATCTGGCAGCAGTTCAGCATTGTAAGGGAGTGGAGGAAAAGAAACAGAAAAGCAGAAGGTGGCTCTTTGAAGAATTTGAATTGAAAAGAACTGGATATAATATCACTTGACCTGTCTCCCTTTTGGGGTCATAGATTATTTTTATTATCTGTATGGCATCTATGTGGTAATTTGTTGGATTTAAACTGAGTATCAGTTTTGCATGCTCATCCTTTGAGACACCATCCGTGTACTTGATTTTTATTTTTTTTTAAAGCAAGAATTGAAAACCAGGTCTTATTCAAGTGCTTTGCGATGAAGCAGCAAAAATCTAAATTCTTTTTAGAAGCATGTATTTGATACATTTACTATCAGTGCATATGGTAGATACTGTCAACAAGAATGAGGTACCAGCATAAACCAAATATTTCTCCTTGGTTTAAAATACTGAACTTGTTAAAGATTGTGAATATTGGGTTTTTTCAGTATAAGAGCTAGGGATTAGGAAGAGGAAGATTTTCATTGTCCCAGTCTTTCCCAAGCTGAAGAGTACAAAACTTCTTATTAAATAAGATACAGTACCTAAGCATAGTTAGGTTCCTTTCAAGAAGACAAGGAGTATGTCGTAATTCTTCATGAAAAATAAGTATTTTTATTCAGCAAAACTGTCAGGGCAAGGTGGAAAGAAGTACATTGCTTCTGTGTGTGCTTCTTTGAACACATAAATAATGGCGGTATGTAACAGGTTTAAAGATCTCTGGGTTTTTTTAATATTTTTATTGTGGGATTTGCAAGTTCATAGTATTTTTATTTCTGGATGCTTTGTACCAGGCAGCTGTTTGTTTTGTGGAAAGCCAGGACAATGTTGTTTGAGGCTGTTACTTAAGATAAGAGTATGGACTGATTGATATTTCTGGAAAAGGTGGTTATAACTTAGTTCCAGGTATTATTTAGCAGTCTGACCGATAGTTTCAATTGGACTACAAAGTTTTGTTCAATTAATGTATTGTTCTTAGATAATAGATGGGGTTTTTTTACTGCTACAGAAAGGTAAATGAGAAATGTTATTTGACTTGATTTCAGAATGCCTATAGAAATATTAAGCTTTCTCTTGTTACAGAACTATCTTCTGGGGAAGAAAGAAACCTCTGAGATGGCAGACAGAAATAAAGAGGTGCTGCTAGAGGTAAGACTGCTGAAACAAAAAGGGCGTAGTGGTCATTTCGGAGTTTGAAGCTAAACTCTGAAAGGTTGTGGTGATTGAAATTGATGGACAGAGCTGAATGTAATTCTGGAACAACTGTGAATGGAATGTGTTACATTTGAGATAAATGGCTCTTTTGATGTTACCCTGTTTCAGATAACGATCAGTTAATAAAAATGTGTCTTTATTTTGTTTAATAACTAAAATTCCATACACAGTGATAATCAACATGAGGTTATCTGTAACTGTGGCTAAAACCAGTCAGAATTTGCAGAATTGTCACCTGTTTTTTTGACCTGTGGTGGTAGAGGTTTTTCTACTAGTACTCTCCAAATGGTTATTCTCTACAAAGTTGTATGACATTGGTTCAGTGACTGGTCTATGTTAATATTTTAAATTTTGTTGGTAAGCAAAGTAGTTAAAAATTGTTTCAGTTACATTTTAAAATAAACAACCAAATATTAAATTTAAAAAATGAGTGACAGGAAAGGAAGTCGATTAATATTGAACACATTAAATAGTTCACAGAACTAAGGACAACAACAAAAAAAAAATGTGTGGAGCAAATAAAGCAAACAGTAAACATAGCCTCCATACGCTAAAAAATGAATGGTTTTGTGACATTTTTGTAGAGACATACCCATAGCTTCCACTTGATTTCCAGATTGATGATTATGATTTCAATAGTTACACGAAAGTATATATTTTTGGTATTTAATTTTGGATTATACTTAGTACAATTTAACTTATAAATAGCATATGCATGTTCTTAGTATATTATTAATATGGGTTTTAATAAGTGGTTACGTGAATACTGTGGATCAAAAAGATGCTTGAAGCCATGACATGCAGAGGGTTGTAATTCTATCTAATACTTTCTGTCTTCTAGGATTACTCATAAATCTCTGTGCTGCATATTATTCTGGAGTGTATTGAAAGCATTTGTTTTCCTCTGTTAGGTCTTTATAAATAGAACCTTAACAGAAGTTGTAGTGTTGGCAGTTAGTAGCAACAAAGTACTCATGGAATGGATTATAGCTGTATCTGATGGATATGTAATTAGGTTTTGTGTATACTTAGACTTATGAGGCTACATCTATAAGGTGACCTCGTGACTTTAAAGCCAGTAAAGCCATTGGGGGATCTATTACTGATAAGCAGTGGTTAGAAAATCTTTACAGTAGCTGCTAATATTTTTGTTGTCATTCTTGCGTTGAGAAAATGCTAAGATTCCCTGTTGTGTTTGTCTGAATTACCTAATAGCTTCTACAGTTAATCTCTAATTCATATTACTGCATGAAAAAAGAGCTGTCCCTGCTATGTGTGCATTCCTGAGATAAAGAATTTCAGAATTTCAGTCATTAAAAACAAACCACTGCATGCTCTGTCTCTTTCTCTCTTCTCAAACCACTGTGTTTATCGACAGGAATGTTTCTGTGGAAGTTCTGTAACTGTGCCAGAGATTGAGGGAGTTTTGTGGCTGAAAGAGGATGGTAAGAAGTCTTGGAAGAAACGTTACTTTCTTCTTCGAGCTTCTGGAATCTACTATGTCCCTAAAGGGAAGGCAAAGGTACTCTATTTTAAAGCAGTTTCCCTCAATTGTTTATTACTGGTAAATTGTGCACGTCAGCCTTAAATTTTGGCTCAGCTGTGCCTTGCTTGGTGCCACATCCCTTAACTAAAAGTGCAGCTTTATCATGGAAATATTGTGTAAATTACTTTGGTAGCACTTGGTGTGAAGGGTGTAACCCCAAACTTAAAAATACAAGACGACAAGGGTCTGCTTTTTGAGTGAGCTCGGGGTTAGGTATTCAGAAACACTTGAGGAAAAATGATCGGTGGAGTTAAGAGGCTGTCTTTTCTCAAGCAGAATTCAGATGAAGAACCAAATTGCACTGCAAATGCCAATCATAAAATATCAGACCACCTCCACAACCAGTCTGCATAAATCTATTGGGTTTAGTTAGTTCATATAAATGGGATTCTTTTCAGACCAATTTGCGCTACATTTTTTGAAACTGGTAAATATAATATCATTTTTTCAGTGTCACTTACTGCTGTTCTGTGTGTATCAATAATAAAAAGTAAATAGAAAGCTGCTACAAATGCATTATAGCTTCAAGGCTGAACTACTGTGAGTTCAAGTTGTCCATGAATCCGTAAGTCTTGACAGCATCGACTGCTCTCCAGTAATCCACTTCCCGCACAGCTGGCAATGAAGAGGAAATCTCTGTCAGCACATCAGCTCCCTTTAGAGCTGAACACATCTCAGATGTTCTTTACACAGCCTTTTGCTTCGTTAAGACAATCTGTATGCAAGATAGCCTGTTCAAATTCTGTGCCCTACAATTACTGCCAAACATCATTAGAATTATACTTATGGTCACACTGGAATTTGGACACCTTGATTATTACCAAGATGAAATGTAACCACCAGCTGTTAAAATGTTCCTGGTCAACCATTTACTTTCTTCTGATACCAATTCTGAATAAACATTAGTAGTGCAGTGTAAGATGTTGTCAAAAGGTAAAATGCAGAAAAAACATAAAAAAACCAGACAGAATTTGGAGAAGGATATCCTGGTTAAAAATGAACGTCTGATGCAAGAGTTTATGCATGGCTGTATCTCTGTCTTGTATGGGCAGTTTTTGAATCAGATTGAAACTAATATTAGACCTTAACTAGACCTTATATTAGTATTGGATCTTAACACTAGACTGATTTTGTCAGTGCATCTTGTTCTCTTATAAAGATATTTTGTAAATGATTATTTTTGTATTTAATAGGTCTCACGGGATCTCGTGTGCTTTCTACAGCTAGATCATGTCAATGTTTACTATGGACAGGACTATCGGAACAAATATAAAGCACCCACAGACTATTGTTTAGTGCTAAAGGTAACTTGTTAATTGTTTTAAAATTTCTCAGTACTGAAAAGAGCAATCAAAAAGCTTGAAACATTTCCACACTAATCTCAGTCCCTTATAATAATTATACTTCCTAATAGTGGGCAAGAGCTGATTAACACAATATTAATCTTGGGAGAGATTATAATTTAGAATACACTTCCTTAGTATTGTAACAATTGCAAAACTACGCTTGTCAGTTTTCAGAGCAAATCTCTAAATCATTTTCATTCTGCACATGAGAAATCTAAATTGCCATAAGTTATAATGGCAATGAGAAAGCTATGCTTAACTACGTTTTCTGCGGAGTTGTTGTAATAAGCCTCCTTGACAGAAATATGGCCGGGGGGGGCGGGGGGGGCGCAGAAGAGAAAATGCCATGCAGGGACTAGTGCAGAGGGAAGAAATGGCTATGAATCACTTTCTTCCCCATCAAGCTGACAGTTTTCCTCCTCCTACCAGAAGATCTGTGTGGATTGCATGGTAGGGGAAGAAAAAAGATCATAGAGAGCAGCGAAAGAATGGCTTTACTGGATTCATCTACCACTCTAGGTTTCTCTCACAGTGGACTTTCTTTATAAGCTGCTTAGGGAAAAATTAGAAGTACAGGACAGTTTTGCAGAGATACTTCCACAGAATACTTTTTCAGCATTTAGAAATTTAGCGAGCCAGGGAGTGGATCTTGGCAGTTCAATAGCCCTAGGTGCATTCTTACTCTTCGAGTATGCCCTGTCTCTTTTGGCATCCCAATAAACTTTTAGAATGCTGCAGCAGTTAGGTACACCTTGTACGCTCTTTTACTTGTTCTGAGCCATCCGTGGCTTTCCATTTCATTTTCCCCTAGTTCTTGTATAGGAAGTGAACAGTTAGTGAACAATTGTTGCCTGTTCTCCTCATGACTTTGTAAATATTTTCATATTGCCCTGAATTGTCTTACTTCCAGACTGATGAGTCCCAGTCTATTTCATTGTTCATCATACTCTAAAATGTAACGCTAAACTTTTTTTGTCCCTTTGGCAACTCTATACCTTACAACAATCCAGGTTCAGTGAGATAATACTGAATTGTTGAAATTCTAACTTGAAATGCTAACTTCAGGGAGTTGCTGTCTTCCCAGAGTGTAGGTCCAGCGTTGTGCAGAAATTGGTATTAGAGAGTCAAGTCTATCCATATTGCCCAACCTGAGGGAAGGAGGATGCTGTAAAGGAAGAAACAGAATTCTGAGTATAAAGGACGGGTAGAAAGAACAAGTAGAAAAAAATGTTATGAAAGCAGTGACCTGATCTTAAACTGTGAGATTAATAACTTGAGTACTTCAAGTTATTTTAAATTGCATCAACTCATCTCCCAGTCTCTTTTGACTCCCACACAGTGTTCAAAACGGCATCAGCTCCTGCAAGATAGCTACAAAGCTATTTTAAAACAGGTTTTCACAGTATGTTCATAGCAAGTAAAGTGTCTTCATGGATTTGAAAATGGTGTAAGTAACAAGAGATGGTTATAGTTGCACTTACAGTTTTCCTTTGACCTCTTACTTTCCCTGATTTGTAGCTCGTGTTGTGGTGCATATGTCAGTACATTAGAATGTTTTATGTGCCTGCCTGTCCACTGTGTGAAAGAACGATTTAATCTTTGAATAGACGGGGCAACATGCATTTGGGCCCACTGAGAGTTAGTCACTGAATATCAAATATGGGACATGATATTGAGGGAGAAAGCATACAGCTGAAACTGGAAATATTTTCCATGTTCTTATAGGTCATTGGCATAGTTAATGGGATGCAATTAAAAGTGCTTGTAGGTATTTATAAATTCCTTGAAATAAATTGATTTCTTCTGCTTAAATGTCACTTTCTATCCACATCATTTGGACAGGTTAATAGTGAATTATTTTTTCAGACTTGTTGACCACACAGAGTAAACCAGACTAAGTCTTATCTAATAGATTTTTTTTAAAAAAGTATTGCCATTCTGAGGATAAATGAAGACATGAAAATGTTAAAGTCAAATTTTAATGTGTCTAAATTGTCTCTTAATGGGGTAGAGTTAGTCAGGTAACTTAAACAAAGTGAAGCTCTGTTTTCAGTGTGGAACTGATAAATCACCAAATTACTATATTAAGCAGGATTGAGTTCTGCCTTCCTGAATTCTTCAAATGTTACATCAATGTTTTATATTAGTACCAATGTATAGAAGCCGTACAGGTTTTTTTTTTAATAGAAACACAGTGCTGTGCCACAAAGATTCACTAAGCTGGGAAATAACTCCAAAACATGACCATGTTTTTGGAGAGGTGAATGGCAAACACAAATTCAAAGGCTGATTCTCACTGAAGTCCAGAATGGATTTGTCTTTACATGTTTGCTTCCTTTGTTTAGCTTGAGCCTTACTGTGCAAGACAGGTGCTGTGCTATTGTTAAATATATCATTTGTATGTTAGTATATATTAGCTCCTTTGTCCAAAATGTTAGATTTCTGAGAGGTTCTTTTATTTCTATATAGCCAAATTTTTTAACAAGTCCAGGAAAAGATGGCTTGCTAGCTAAGTAACTTTTTTTGTGCTTCTGTAGACTCTTCTTTGTTATACAACATGTATGTGAAAAAGACTGGTAGTGAAAAATGAAGACAATTATCTAATATCATAATGACGTTAGTTATATGTATTCTGTTTATGGAGATAAACATGTTCATGTTCATTTTGAAATAATTATGTTTGGAAGACAAGAGAAAATATTCTGAAAAGAGATTAAAAGTTCTTTGATACATGTATCATACAGCCTTCAGTAAAACTTAAACACCTATGATCATCTAGCAAAACTCTGTGTCACTGAACTGTCAGCTAACAGAGGAAATTATAAGAACCTGAGTAGTCAGAGTTGCCCTGACAGCTGTGAGACGTAACTTTTACAGCATGGACAGGAAACAACTGGATAATCCATCAAGAATGATTTCCAGTGTCTGATTTTTGAAAAATATACATTTCTTTCTTGACTGATGAATTGATAGAGACAACACCTTTTCTTTTTTATACATGCATGTGGGAGCAGCAAGTATTTTAGATGATAGCCCAGTATCAGTAGGGTGGGAACCTTGAAGGCTCTACAAGCTGAAAATGGAATTGTGCTAAGAGCATGTCATTTGCGGAGTGTCTCGCTCAAGCCATACAAAAGCAGAGAAGACCAGTGTGTGTGTGTTTTCCTCCAGTTGGTTTTTGTGTGAGAGGAAGGTGAAATATTACTTGTCTCCCTCAGGTGGTGAGTTAGTCCATAGAACAGGGAAAGAAGACAACTCTTTACTCCTTGGCAGTCTTTTGCTTGTGTTTAGGACAGGCTTTTAAAAGCTGAGACTGTTCTGACCCCTTGGCTTGAGTGTATAAAGATTTCTAAAGAGCTTTACAGGTACAGAAGACACTGTTGGTAGGTAGAAGGTACAGCACTAAAATACTGAAAGAATTATCCTTTCTTAGCGTTTCAAACCTGAAATCAATGCACACTGGACACACTGCCAATCTGTGTGTGAAGCAATTCCCACTGCCACCTCCTGAAATACTCTCAAACATTTTTAAGTGGGCTGAAAATACAGACTACTGTTGAAGAGCTTCCAGCATTAAGTTTGTCTGTATAGACCTCAACAGATGAATGGCTTTCCTTGCATTCCTAGCTATTAAAATACTGATGAGGATCAACAATTTTTCTGCAGCATCCTCAGATCCAGAAGAAATCCCAGTATATAAAGTATCTTTGCTGTGATGATGTAAGAACTCTACACCAGTGGATCAATGGCATCCGCATTGCTAAGGTAACCTCCTCTAGGCAGTCTTGCACCGTTGTCATGAGTTGTCATTATCTGTTTGAAACCATTTACAGTTACTTAGCAAAATACGTGCTAAATCTAACTTCCCTCTGTTTAACTAGTCTGAATGTCAACTGTACAATCTTCTTATATGTTTCATTCCCTAGCAAAATTGTTAGGCTTTGTTGTTATGATAATTCAGTAATTGGGCCCTTTCTTCTTGTTTCTGCTGCACCTCTCTGTCACGTGCTGAATTTCTAAATGATATCATGGCTAGATTTTAGACAACTCCCTTACAGATTTTAAAAAGGCAGCTTATGGGAAATGAAGAGAATTGAGAAAACAGAATTGTTTTCTAAGATCCCCAGGTTGGCTTAGTTTATTCATTTCTTGCTTGATGCTATCTCTTCTAGCATGAGTAAACTGTTTTTCTTTCTTTCAGCAATTCACTAATAAAAAGGCGAAAGGTTGGGGGAAGGGAGTTGCCACTTCTGTTAAATAAAACAAAATGAAATTGCACTGCAGTAATGTTGCCTGAGCTCCTTAACAAAGAGCCTGTTGTTTCTCTCTGGGGGAAAAAAGGTGGAACAGAGAAGCCAGAGGTTGAGCTCAACAGTCTGAAAAGGGTACACAGCCTATAGAGTTGTTAAATTTGTTTGTCATTTTGCTTAGTATGGGAAGCAACTATACATGAACTATCAGGAAGCATTGAAGAGAACAGAATCGGCATATGATTGGACTTCCTTGTCTAGCTCCAGTATCAAGTCAGGCTCCAGCTCATCTAGTTTGCCAGGTAATAATGTGATCTGTCTCATAATAGAAAGATTTAATTACATTTTTTATCATCTGCTATCTGGAGACCTGGCAAGAAATGGACTGTTTCTCCAAAGTCTTTTATGCTATGCTTAGTCCAAAACATGAAGTCTGTGTTTCACACACACACATATATATACACACACACAAACATATAAAACCCTATTTTATTATGTTACTTGCAGTAGTGTATGTATTTGGAACATACAGTACTTTCTTGTTCACCTCCAAAAAAAGAATGTTTTTCTGATACTGAGAAGAGGAAACTTCCTTTCAAACTCCGGGTGCTTCTATCTTCACCTATCTGAAAAAAGAACTCAAATCTACGTTTTAATGATGCATAGAGACTTGTGTGTGTAGCTCTTAAACTGCTTTTGTTGACTGAAATATTTGAAATTGGAAAATGAGAAATAGTCCCTGCCAAAAGGCAAAGATCCAAACAATCTCTTTGGAGACAAACTTTGAAAAGACTCTTTCTGTTCCTGTGTCAAACTGTGTGTGCCTGCAGTAATGTGCTCCTGTTTGCCTCTCAGGAGGACTGGGACTGGGTTTTTGTAGCACATAACAGTTTAAAAATTGATGAATGGTTTATATAGTCTCATTTCACTGTCCAGAGCTGACTGACACTCTGCCAGGTTATTCTGAACCCTCAGGGGCAAGTTTCATTATTGAAAACAGGTTATTGTGTGAAAGTGTTCTGTCCATCGCAGATACAGGTCAGGAAGCAATGCTACTGAATTGAAAAGGTTCAGAAAGTAGCCTGTGAGAATGAGCAAAGCAAATGCAGCCTAACTGGGAAGGCACTGTATTTTTTCAACTGTGTGGAACAGCTTACCAGGTGTAGCAGTAAATTCTTGGTTATTGACAATTGCTCCATCCAAGCTGGGTGTCTTTCTGATAAAGTTTCTCTTGTGGGGAGCTAAGCCACAGCCCACCAGCCATGCATGTTCTGCCAGAGCTACAGTCCTGCCTGTGCCTAGATGCTCTTTTTCCCCAGAACAGCTTGGGACTACACAGAAAGCAGGTGCCAGGCTGGATAAATCGGTCTGGCAGTGGCTGCTGCTGTCTTTTCAAGATACCCTGTGGACCCAGAGCATCATCTGTGTTTGCTAGTTGCAGGATGCACACCATTCCGTCTCTTCCCTTGAGGAATGGAGCAGTCAGAAGCAGACAGCTGCCTCGGCTAGTGTAGTTTGCCTGTCCTCAGCCTGTGTCCAGGGTCTGTTTCTAAGGTTGTGCTGGGAAGAAGTGCTGGAGAGAGCAGGCTGCATGCATTGCATGAAATGGGGCTTTTGTCAAAGCGCAGGAGCTGTTGGGTGTTTCAGAGCCTATACAACTGCAGCGTGTTTTTACTTTGCAGCATATCTGACACGCTGTCATCTTTGTGGAGCTTCAGATTTGGTTAATACCGGGGACCTGTTGCACTGTTTTGTTTTCCAGACAGCAATGGCCTGGATGTGAGCTAGAGCTTATGCAGTAGTTAGTGGGATGTCCTTTGGTGGGATAACATGTTTAACAAGTGTGACCAAGAAATGTCACACAGAGTTGCATTATAAGTACACCAACTATACTCTTTACATTCAGGAACATATACTAACTGTTTCTTAACTTTCTTCTAAACAGAATCTCAATCAAATCATTCTAATCAGTCTGACAGTGGAGTTTCTGACACCCAGCCAGCCGGACATGTCCGTTCCCAAAGTATTGTCAGCTCCATGTTCTCCGAGGCCTGGAAACGAGGCACTCAACTGGAGGAATCCAGCAAGGTAACAAGAAGACTTTAGTTTGAGAACCAACGCCCAACAAAATGTACGAGACAGAGTGATACCTCTTCCACCTCTGTCTTGGCTGGGATTTCTTCTCTTTTTTACTCTATGTTATTGACATACAGTGCCATATAATTGTTGTTTCAGGAATCACTTTTTCAGGGAATTCAGCCCTGGATCCTTCTGTTCTTGCTTTTATTTGTGTGCACAGAAGCCCTCTGTTCTTTGAAGGCATGATACAGCCCTTCCCATAGAATCCTATTAACTAATGTTGAATAAAAATGAAATAAAAAGATGAGCTGTTAACAAGTTGAATGAAATTCTTTCACTAAGACCTTTCTCCAGTTAACTAACCACATCTTTCCATTGTAAAGATGTGAATAACTGAGACCTGAAGGCAGGTGTATCTATTTAAGAAGTACTCTGGTAGTTTTTACTCAAATGTTTTCCGTTATATTTGGTGGAAATGGAAACAGTAACCATAGATGTGGTCAAAGCAAAAGTACTAGAATTGACAGCAGTTGTGGATTGAGACAGATTTGGTATCTCCTGTTGCTGGTAGAGAGTTACAAAAGATTTTAACCCACTGAAGCCTGGGGCTCAGGTCTGTTGTGGTTTGGTTAGTTTTCTGTCCTTTCTGTGGTAGTTGACTGGTGTAGTTCCTGGGGAATACTTCCAAACACAGCAGAATTGACACTTAAGCTGGTTTGTTGTCAGGCTCAAAGGAATTTCCGGCTTCCTGAACAGCCATGACATCAGTATTAACTGCAGCAGTTACATGTGGAAGTACATTGGCAGGGTGCTATGAGAAGCTGTCTTCACTCCTGTCAGTTTTGGATCTTTCCCAGATCCCGGGTTCAAGCTAGAGAAGCAAGCTTTTTAAAACTTAAAACCATGGGTCAGTACACCTGACATTGGTGCATCAGATAAATAACTAAAAATAAGACACAACATCACATTTTCAAATAAGAAAGCACATGTGACACAATGTGAAAACTGACGTGGCTGCATTCTTTGGGATTCATAACTTCTCTGCAGTGCCTGCTGGCTTGGAAATCGTCTGATTCTAATAGTAATGTAGTACTCAGGAATGTAGCTTGCTAAATTGTGATCCAGATTCTCTACTGCATGAGTGCAACACCTGGTGCATGTTCATCAGCAGATGGCTTGTGTATGTGTACAGGGTGCATCATTTCAGCAGGAGCTGGGCACTTGAGTCTGTCTAGCATGTATCCAACAGAGGTGAAAGAGTACTGCTGTGAGAACTGTAATGTTATTGTTTCCTGAAGTTTTGGGTTTAATGTGCAAATCTTGCTACTACACTCTCTGTGAGCTTCTAGAGAAAAGTTTGAAGTTTACCACAATGGGGTCATTGTTGTTCTTATCAAGTCCGTAGTGCTGCTTGCAATTGCTCATTTAAATAAACCCCAAGAATTTTTATGTTATATTAAAAATAAAATATTCAGACTGCTCCTTGTTGAGGGCCATCCATGTTTTGATATTTCATCAATTTGAATTCCTTTCAATGCATAAATCCAAGAAAAGGTATATTTCTCTTCCTCATGAGTAACACAGGTAAATGGATTGCCCTAAAACTTCCAAAGAATCCAAATGAAATGAACCATGTAAAATTGTAATTTGAAGCCATGTCAAAAAATTCTGAGTAAATTGGTGACAAATTTACCTTCAGTGAAACTACAGTACGTGCTTTTTTTTATCCTGTACAGGTTTGGCCCAAGGAACTTAAAGAACTAATAAATCAGACTGGCAGTGAGAAACGTTAAACTGTGTGGCAAGAAAGGAAATAAGTATTGAAAAAATTGTAATTTACATGAAAAGATAGTTGCAGTGATATTGAGACATGCTGGTTTAGGCAGATTAGTCTCCAAACAGTTGTTTCAGACGTAGTTACTCCACAGTGCTTTGGTGACAAAGGTGGCTTAAGACGTTCGTACAGGCAGGTTGCTGCAAGTGGCAGAATTAATGGAGACTTGTCCAGCATGTCCCTTCCCCTTCTGCAACAGCTCTCTCCCGCCTTGTCACCCTTGTCTCATCCCCATCAGCAAGCAGG